TTGTCTATGTACCCAGATATAAGTTCTGTGAATTTACCAATGCCTGATATTATGGGTCTACCAGGTGGCATGATTTTAATTAATTTGAAATTTCATAGATGTTCTCTTCATTATTTGATTGTGTAATTTGATGTGGGTCGGATGAAAAAAATGTTAGGGTGTTTTTCTGAAAGGATTTTAGGGAGTTTATGTAGTTTTGGGATAGTGTAGAATGTTGCTGTTTTAGGGTTCTCAGGAATAAGAGATTTTATGGTATTTTTTTATGTTGTAGTTCAGGTTCTGAGTGAGAAGTGATAATTCTGTTTTGAATAAATATAGTTGGGTCTAGAGGTAAGGGTACATATAATTTGTTATTTTGAAGTTGTGATTCTGCTTCTTTAATGTAGTGGTTAGTGTCTAAGATGGTTATATTAAAGTATACGTGGCTTCTCATTATGCTATTAATATATATATGATATATATATGATAGATATACATATATATATATATACATATATATATATACATATACATGATATATATATATATATGATATATATATATATGATATATATATATACATATATATACATATATATAATATTATATATATATATTATATATATATATATTATGCATATATATATATATTATTATATATATATATATATATATTATAAATTAATTGATTTAAAATGTTTTTTTTTTTTTCAAGTTTTCTAACCATGTTTTTTAATGGAAGCTAAATACTTTGAATTTAATTTTGTAATTAAATTTTAAGACATTAGTTCCATTTTATACTCAAGCAAATTTTGGAGTAACTTTTAAAATTACTGGGTTTAAAGGCACAGCAAAAAAACCACAATTCATGTTTCCAAGGATACAGAGAAATCTATTCATCCAGAGAAAGGGTGTTTGCGTGTTCATTATCGCTGTATTTTGATGTATTAGTTTTGTTTTGGTAGTGGTGGGGATTTATTTTTGAATGAATTCTGACATCTGTTAAGTGCATGTTGTCTGGATTTTTTAAAAAATTTATTGTTAACGGCATTTTTTTTCTATTTGTATACTTAAAGATTTTGAGTGGGGGTTTAGGTGAGAATATGTTTTAACTACGATTTGAAAAATATTTTCACTTTTAAGTTTTAATATACTATATTTCTTTTTAAAACAAGTAAATGTATTCGAATCACTTACAGTATGTAGAATTATTTTCACATTCAAGTATAACTATATATATTACTAGGTCACAATTTTTTATTTAAATATTATTTAAGTAAAATTTATGACAATGACGGCAAAAATAGCTAATTAATTACTCTGATTTAGTAAACATTTATTTTTTTTATATAAACCTAGTAATATAGTGTTTCTTATGTAAGTACAAAGGACATGGGTCATTCAATGGCTTGCATCTTCTAGCTTTTCATATTAATTTCATTTTACTGTAAGTGTTTTATTGGATTCTTTTAAGTGCTTGTAGTACTTTGAGAGGTGGTTTAGGTTAGAATACGTTTTATTTAACTATTTCTTTTTAAAAGTAAATGTATTAGAATTACTTACAGTAAGTAATATTATTTTTCCATATCAAGTATACAAGTATGTATATTACAATTTTTAGAAATTTTATATTTTTTAATTTGAGCACTATTTTGTAAAAATATCTATAAGAACACCAGATTATATATCTTACTGTTCAGTCTTTATATATATATATATGTGTGTGTGTATGTATGTGTGTGTTGATATTCTCATGTTAGTTAAAAATACAGATAAAATACTTCAACTTTAAAAATGTTTCCAAAATAATTCTGTCCTTAAATTCACATATGAACTCAATACTAATAATAAAATTCCCTTCCTTGACATATTGATAAACACAAATAATAAATTTACTATTTCACCATAGAAAAAACCTACAAGCATAAATTCATGTACACTTAACTACTATTTATCCATATTACTACAAAATAGCAATTATAAAGAATCTAATACATCGTGCAGAAACTAATTCATCTAAAAAACAGATTTTTTACAGTGAACTAAAGAATATAAAACAAACACTTATTAATAATAGCTTTCCAAACTATATAGTTGATGAACAAATAAGATGCTTTCATAGAAATTTCAATACTAAGCAAATAGTACATAATACCGCTTCCACTAATCTCAAATATATTAATCTCCTATATCGTAATCAAATGCATACTAATTATAAACAAGAGGAAAATATGCTAAAAATTTTTTTAGTAAATACTAATATATCAACAACAGTTCCTAGCAAAAAAATTAAGTTATCATATACTACACTAAATCTAGTATATCCAACTTAATTATTTGCAATGATTCTTCTCTCTTGGTTAGTGATTTGCAAAAAACCAACATAGTTTACGAATTCAAGTGGCCTTTGGGAGATTGTATCTCCAACAAATTAAATATTTGTGTTGGTCACACCACAAACTTGCTTTCACGATGCTTGACACTACATTTGAATGAAAACTAACATTTTTAGGCATTTAAAACATGACTGGCTGCATACACAATTCCGTAAAATCCTTGTTGAAAGCAATTATACTTAAACATGAAAACAAACAAAAACTGAAAATTATTGAAGCTATATACATAAAACAGTTGAAACCTAACCTAAACAAAGTAAACTATGAAATCTCCACAAATATTCTTAAATGTCTATAATTGGTAACAGAAGTCATTGGTTTATACCAACGGCTTCCCATACTTAATACTTCTCGTTTTCACTCTTGCATGGTCATGTGTGACGTCATGGGCTGATACTTGATGTTGTGAATTTTCTGATGAAACCGAATCTGGTTTTTAGAGAGTATCAAGAAAATGTATACAATTCCAATAAAGGTAACTTTATAGAACTTATTGAACGTATGAGGAAGTATGATCCTTTTCTTGGAAAGCATTACTTGAAAGAAGTAAATGATAACCAGTGGTACTCATCACCGAAAATCCAAAATAAATTCAGTCATCTCTTGGGAAACAACATAAAGGAAAATACATTTGATAGAGTTCAAAAAGCCAATTACTTTGCAATCATACTAGACAGCATGCCAAACATTTCTCATACAGATCAAATGAATTTCATTTGTCAATATGTCATTGTTGAAGACAAAGAAGTGAAGGTGTGGGAATCATTTCTTAGTTTTATCACTGAGGATAGGATGACAGCTTATGATATCAAGAAAATGATTTTGGATTGACTGGAGAAAGAAACTTAATTTCAAAAAATGTAGAGGGATAGGATGGCTGGAGTTCATGGTGATGTTCAACATCTACGAAACATAAATGGGAAAGCTAAATTTGTACCATGTCCTAATTATAATCTGAATTTATGAGGTGTTCATGCCTCAGCTGTGAATGCAAGTGACATTACATTTTTCAGAGTGATTGAAGTGCACATGAAACCATTCGTGCAGTGAAAATTGGATTTCAAGGTGTGATTCAGGTGTTTGATTCATTCACCTCAGTTTCAGAAAATCTTCAAACGAGAAGGAATGCACAAATCATTTTGCTTTCAATTGAAAACTTCTTCATATTACATTTGTCTTACTGGGAAGAAATTCTGGGACAAATAAATCTCATCCAAAAGAAACTTCAAGAACCTGGTATTGGTTTGGATGTGTGTGTATATGGATGCAACTAAAATTTTCTTTAATTGAAACAGAGACATCTGGTGTCTGAATTGGTTAATCAAAGTAAAGCAAAGTCTGAGGAAATGGAAAAGTTTTTAACAAAACTTTGAGATATGCATACACACACAATATTATCTATGAATTCAAATACCCCATAGTGAATTATGTTTCTGACGAAAACAAACATCACTTACCACCATTTGTTTATGAATGGTAGTAAATATCTATTAGAACATAGCTCTATAAAGAACCATTTAAATCAATATCAAAACATAACTTCAATATGTGAAATACTTGTTCAAAAGTCAATTATAACACATACCCCTCACTGTAAAAATCTAAAAATAATAGAAGTGCTCAAATAAAAATCAACTAAGCAAGACCATAATGTACTGTTTGGGAATTAAACATATGCACATTTATAATAACACAATCAAAATGGCTACAAGCACTTGCAACAAACAATCATTTGAACAATTTCTACATACTATGTAGAAAAAAAAAAAAAAAAAAAAAGGACTTAACAGAAGTACATTGTCAATTAATTTTAATGACAGTAAAAGAGGAGTCAAGAAACAAACTAAATAGTTTGAGTAAATGCATTTTATTTAAATACAAATTCAGAATTTGATATCATGTTGATGGTATAGAATAAGAAAGCTAGTGAAAAATGATATGAACTTTTCAAATTTCCAGACATTACTATTTTATGTCATAAGAGTAACATTCATTGATCTATTCTGACAGATCAATGCATACAACTTTGTGCACAATGAAGAGAAAAATTATAGACATTCACACACACAAACGCATACAGTAAAATAAACTTCCACACATTCACTGCCAGTTCATATTCCATCTTTGGAGTACACATAATAGCCAAGTACATCACCAAGATGGTGCAGTATTGGCAAGTCGCCTCATTCTCCTGGAAAAAGAAAAAAAAAAAAGTTAGAATCATTTGAAAAAAAATAAACAAACAAAAAAACACCCCCCCACACACACTTGGAATACTATTTATATTAAACTGGCTAAAAAGAGAACAGAATTGGGTATTGTAACAGACAATATCTTACACTTGTCAGAAAGACTGATGCCTGCCAACATTGTTTTTTGTTGCTGTAAGATCCAAGATTGTATACTAGAAAAAACTGAAACCTGTGCATTAGTGGGGATTTTAATGTTGCTTCAAATATTTTTGAATGCCAAGAAGATATCACCTTTTGAAACAGAAACCTCAAATAGCAATGTTAAATTTTTGTTATTCAAAAAGATATTTCAGTCTGAACACAGGGTTCAACAATATCATGAAAAATTGGATCACATGGTATAGCCCAAATAAAATAACCAAAAAGATTGACTTTCTTGGATTCTTGGTTTAGGTAGTTTGCAACAGATGTTACATTATACATCTACTTTGAATCTGATCACAGACTACTTGTAACTGATAACATGAGCCAACAAAATAGCATACTTCTGCACACATAAACAATGAAAGGCACCTTTGTATAACATTCAAGCCCTTAAAAATGAAAGGATTAGAATTCAGTAATAAATTAGAGTCCAAATTAATATCCTTAAATCTTGACCAAAACATAGAGGAATCAACTAACATTACATCTTCATTAACCAAAGCATGTGAGACTATTCCAAGAATACCTAGAAGGAAAAAGATATACAAGAAAGAAACAAACAGAAGAGGAAGAAAATGAATGAGAGAATACTAAACAATAAAAGGAAATAAAAAAAAAGAAGAAAAAAAAAGTTAATGCTTTGAAAAACAAAATTAATGATGCCAGGTAGTATAGACAATGTGTTGAGAAATCACAATATCATCCAATTAAAACTAACACAAAAGAAATGTCTTGGTCTTAGAAAACATTGGATCACATTACAAACCTGACCATATTAAACTAAAGATGCTTGCAGAAATAGAAAATACACATGCAATCATTACAAAATCTGTCTCCAAACAGAAAATTGTATACAACAGCTTATGACCATATCAATAGAGACCTCTTCCCATCCATTAGTAACAGGCTTCCAATGAATGCCTTGATCTAATAGAGGAACTATATTGCTTAATAAAATATACATGTGTGATTAAGACCTCAATATGGAAACATTTCAAACCTCATCAGTACATCAAGGAGGAAACGAGAGCCCAAGCCTATTTAATCTTTTCCTAAAGTATGCATGCACATATATAAGTACAAATGTTAAGAGATGGGAACAGATCATTTAAGCATTCTATACCACACTCCAAACATATATTAATAAAAAACAGTGATCCTGCTCTCCTTCATGAGGCATATGTACTGATGATGTATGTGAAAGGCTATGCTGATGACCAATATTCATAATTGGCATAAGAATATCTAAAGTGTCAGAAATATACAACTGCTTTCTCAGTTTAATGGTTAAAAATGAGTGAATGAAACCTGTAGGTCTTAGTGAGGGCAATTCTTTTTTTAACCTTCTGGACTGAACAGAAACCACATCAATTGATGACTTTCAATAGCAGAGATTAAAATGGATATCACATGTCACTCAAAGAGAAAAATAATGACAATCAAAATGTTAACTTTTCACAATACTTCAAATAAATGATTAGGAAGGAAGCCCCAATCAATACTGGAAAGAGCGATAACCTATTTTCTTGTTTTTAAGAGAAACATTTTTAAAACAAATAAATTTTAAAGAAATAAATTTAAAACAAATATTTTCAATCAGTACTATTTTGTTTAAGAGAAATATTTTATAAATTTCAACTGAAAGTAGCACTGGCTACTTGGTCAATGAATACCACGTTCCTTATAAAGGAAATGGCTAATATTACCATTAGTAGAGAGAAATATATTACACCAAACTGCAAAAACCCAACATACAGGGATTTTCTTTGCTTTTCTTAGTACTTATATTTTTTTGTATGCAAAAGCTTTGCAGTGATATTTTCTGTATTCATTCATTTTTCATTTAAGATCAAGTATGTATGAAAGATAAATTATTCTATCTTTAAACAGATAGTGCAATAAATCTAAAGTTATAAAAATATCTACTAAAATTTTAAAAACAAAAAGTTAAGAAATCCTATGTAATAATCTATAAAAACAGTTTTATACAATTTCATGAAGACTTAAACTGAAGTATTAAAAAAGATATTTATTTTACAAGTTATATTTAAACATGTTGAAAAACTCATTTATTTTCAATTTATGCAAGATAATACTATCAATATTTTTTGCTGAAAAAAAAAAATAGTTTTTAAAATGGTAAATGTTGAAATTCTTTCAATAGAAAAATATTTTTTTAAAATAATCAATGAATTCTGCTGAACAGTAAACAAAAATTAAATATTTTTAATTTAGTATATTAGGAAAACAAATAGAAATGCTAATTAAAGAACTATGGTTAGATTTAAAGAACATAGAAAAATAATTGGAGCATATAATTGTTTTTTTTTTTAAATTAAAGTTTATGCATTATTTCAAGAAAAAGACTTTACAGTTACTAGGCAAATATAAGAGGAAAACGTGAATAAAGTTTGGAAAAAACACTTGGACCAAATTTTATTCAAATGACCAGTAACTAAAACAAGAGAAAAATAGATAATAAAAATAAGCAAACATTAAATAAAAAAATCAAACATTTGAATGTAAGAATAAAATTTCAGGAAAAAGACAAAAAAACCTGCCTAGTATTACGATCTTGATCCCGTATTTTCTTCTCCATTTCAGCATCAGTGAGGGTCTCCAGGAATGGACACCACTGGTCAGCTTCATTTTGATTGCGAATGGCAACTTCCACTGTGGGCAGAGGTGCCTCACTGAAAGACACAGACTGACGGCTGCAAGTGAATATATCAATGAATGTTGGGGTCAGAGTGTGTGCGGTAGTGAAGACCACTGAGGAGACGATGAAAGACATGACGGGACATGTTGTACATTGTACCAATATCAAAGACGCCACAATAAGTATGACAGCTGACAGTGAGAACGATAGCAAAGTAGACAATGGCAAACTAACTTTTCTACTCCAGGCAAACAAGCCAAAGAAAACTGAGTAACATTTACTATACTAATAATTAAAATAAGCCAGACATAAAAATATAGAAGATGAAGTAATAATAGCCACAAAAGGTAAAGAGAAAAGTAATACAACAATGAACAGAATTAAGCAAAGGTACATAAGTATTGAATTTCATAGAAAAATAATTTTATCAGAAGAAATGACAAAAGACAAACACTTGACAGCAGATAATATGAGAGAGAAAAGAAAAAAAAGAAGCAAAGACAATTATTAGGCTAAAGATAACCACCATATATATCATTTACATGTATTACGAAAAATGGGGGGAAAAAAAAAACAAAAAACAAACTAGTAATGTTCTACTCTATACTTTTTGAGTATAAAAAAAATAATTATAGTAAAAATATCTTCACAATGGTGTAACAAGTTATATAATTTAAAATATATTTTAAGCCATAGGACTATTTAAAATTACCAACTTGAAAGTAATATTTTAAGCATATTAATTTTATTTACAGTTTTTGTTATTAACACATTGTTTTTAATATGTTCTGTTTAGAATATGACAAAAGAGAGAAAAGTGAATAGATTTTCTAGATATTTATTTTATTTTAAATCTTTAGGTAATTTTTTTTTTTTTTACAAGCAAATAAATGTTTACTTCTAGAATCTGATTTGATGACCTTTAAAAAGGTGATTGTTTTGGAAATATAAAATAAATTTAAATTAATTAAAAAAAAAAAAAAAAAAAAAAAAAAAGTAAAAAGAGAAAAAGAAAAATCATTCAGTTCTTAAAACAAATTGGCCATAAATAAGAAATATTTTCTACACAGCAATAAAGTCATACCAAAATTACATGCCAATACCTATATGGAAATTATAAATCTTTGTCATTTTAGTTATGGAACATTTCTAAATAAAAATCAAGAGATGAAAAAAAAAAAATACCAATTTTTCTTGCCTTAGAAAACTTTTCAAAAAGAAGCAATTTAAAACTAACATAAAAATACACTTTTATATATATATATATATATATATATATATATATATATATATATATATATATATATGTGTGTGTGTGTGTGTGTATGTATACACACACTATTTACATTATTTGGACTGTTGTTCTCAGCTTTGTTGCCATATTCATGACATTTCTACCGTTGTATGCTCTGGCCTTCTTCAGGTGACTAATTTTGAACCGAACCCTTTATTTCGTCCACTGGAGTAGATTGTTCTAACTCCATCTTCCATGCCTCTTCTAGATATCTCAGTATCAGTTATCTCCCTTTTAATTCAACTCTCTAAGTTTTTGTTTACCTCTGTTGTAGCCAGGTGCTGAACTCACAACTCTGGGTCAAGTACCTAGATCCAACCAAAGTTTTTTTCCACTGGGCCATGTGCCCTTGTGGACAAATTTCAATCACCTGAAGAAGGACAGAGTGTACAATGGTTGAAACATTGTGAATATGGTAACAAAGAAGAGGACAACAACCCTAACAATGTAAATAATTACAATACTTTATATACCTCAGAAATATAGTAATATATATATATATATATATATATATATATAAAATTTCCAAATGAGAAAAAGAACAGATGGAGTAAAATTCCACTGTTCGTAGCATTTACTTTTAAAAAAGTGCTCAATACAAAGTAGAACAATATTATTTTTATTATAAAAGATTATAAGAGTTATATATGTATATATAAAAACGATATTAAAAAATAAATATTTTCAATCAGTACCATTTCTACAATAAATTAAATACGGATCTTTATAGTGATGGTAAGATAAGAAATTAAAAGATACATTCCAGAGTAAAAAGAGAAATAGGAAAGTTCATTACTATACTAGAAGCATGAAATTATATACTTTAGAAGTCTAAGAAAATACTATGTATCAAAAGAAACTAAAATTATAGCTGTTGCCATTTCAAACTTATCTGTTTTTCCCCTAAAAAATATGAATGATAATGATTGTGCTTGTGTGAATGTGGTTGTATGCACAGGGATAACATTTCATTTTTTTTTTTGCATGCAATTATAAATGTAAATATTCTGTAGAGGAATGGAGGGGAAAGGACTGGATTAATTAAAAACAGTATTAAACAAGTGACAAAATTTGATTGAATATACTATCATTCTAAATGTAAGACTATTAGTTATTAGTTTAATAATGAAAGAAAAAAAAAGTATTTTTGCAACAAAATTAAATAATGAAAATAATCAGTTATAAAAATATTTTTTTATTACTTCAATGAAATTAAAGATTTGATAAAATGGTATAATTATGAAAATTTTTTTTTTTTTTTATTAGTCTTAAAATTAAACAGGAATTTAATATCTAATACCACTACAATGATCAAAAGGAAGCTTTTGTTTATAAAATTTAAGAAAAAAAACAACCCCCCCAAAAACATACATATTCATCTGTAGCCAGAGAAAAATGCACTAGAAAGTATGTAAAGCAAGCCAAATATGCATTGGCACATTCAGTAAATATCAGAAGAAAAGCAGATTTCTGTGCAAGTCAGGCGAACTTTTGTTCCAAATACTTTACAATGAAGTGCATACATTTTGTAATGCAAATGTATGCCTAAAAAAAAAAAAAAAAAAAAAAAAAAAAAAAAAAACCTTGTCTTTTTTATTTAAATATTTTCTAAAAATTCCAGCACAGAGTTGTCTACATAGGAGGATTATGTTCCTTTGAATAATTGATGCATCAAAGAATATAATTTACAGAATTATAGAATTTCAAATATATTAAATCCACTGTAAGCAAATTTATAAGTCATTTAAAACTAAAATAAAAAATTAAGTCATTTTTAACATATATTAGAGATTTTAAAATCTTTGATAACATAAATTATTAATAGCGACAAGCCACAAAATCAACTTTATAACAAAATGTTACAAAATACAATGAGTTTCAGTATTTCATAAGTATTTTTTCTAAGAAAAAAAAAAAAAAACAAAAAAAAACTGAACACTAATAGCAGCAGCATTACAAAAAGCTATTTGATCAAGTTTAACTTACCTAAATGCATAAGTTCTTTGATGCCAACTCAGTTGGCCCCTAATGCTATAAGCAATAGCAGTGACAAATTCTCCCCCAAGTCCTGAATATATAAGAAGAAAAATAAAACAAAAAACATACCATAATACTATAAAGAAAAAGAAAAAGAAAAAGAAAAAAAAAAAAAGTTCCTTTTTTTATTAAGATGTTTGATTTGTACAAAACAACCTTGCAGGAATAAGTTGACATCAGCAGAATATCCTGTGTATTTTTATATATTTATAAATTCATCCCCCTGTAATGGGATCCTCTTGCGAGAAAAAGTCTCTGGAAATTCTAAAAGTAAAGCTACGATATAATTTATACATTGTAGACAAGTTAAAGCAAGAAACTGTAAAGAAAAGAAGGTGTGTGATTCAAGTAGATTCCTCACCCAACTCAGCACAAAGCTTGATGGCAAATTCCTCAGGACTGTTATCAACTTCAGACATATCCCATTCAAATTGGTCAACTAATGAGATATTACCAACATGGATATTCAACTGAAAAAGAACAGAATTAATTAATACTGAATACTTCCACTTTTCTTTGCTGATCACACAGAAATATATATATATAGAATTCAAATAATTGAATTTGGAAGTTTTGAAATTATACTAAACAAGAACAATTACTTTTAAGTAAGGAGTATATTTTAAATAAATACTCCTTAATTTAGGTCCCCTGTTAGTAACTGATAATAATCAATTCATGAAAATTTTAATCTGTTATTAAAAATACATATACACAGTGACATTTCAATTCTTAGTAATTAGTATTCTAGAAGATATTAAATAGCACATATTAAATTTTGAGTAGAAAAAAAAAAAAAAAAAACTTTCAAAGTTTTTAAATTTACTAACCTTATTGAGAGCTAATATTTGTAACTGCACTTGTTTAAAATATATTGTGCAAAAACAGTCAGTCAAAAACTAAATCAGTAAATGTAGAACTTTTTATATTCATATAAGATATGACATGACAAAATTAGCTAAATAAAAAATTAACCAGCATATAAGAACAATATGAAATATTAACAGCAAACATTTTTAAAGATTTTATCTGTTTACAAAAATATCCTTGCTAATTATGTTGGATGCTATTGATCATAGGTTTAAGAAAAACTGAATGAATGAAAATACAAATTTAAACTGTTCACATATACAATTTCAAATAGTTTAAAATAAAAAGCAGCAACCAAATTAAATAATGAAAATAATTAGGAGTTATAAAAAAAAAAAAAATTCTAAAAATCATACAATTAACTAAAAGTAGGTTTTCCATCAAGATGCCCCCATGTATAATAGGAGTTTTGGTTGTGTATATTAGGAGATACAAGTCACTACCCTGTGTTCCCATCTTATTTCAAAACTTAATTTTGTCCCAGTTTTGAATTCAGAGTTGTTCTACACTGATTGCCAACTATGGCTAAAGAGCCCAGTCTTCCTTACCATTTAACCAATAGCTGGCAGGGAGAAGAGATGAATTTCATACATTTCCCAAAGGCATATGCATGTGAATGTGACAAACTCAACAGGAATTTGAACTTGGATCGTTGATATTTCATTCCGATATGCTATCCATTACATCATCCACACATTGAAAGAAATCTGACAAACTTAATCAAATGATAGCTTTTTGTAAGGATTTTTATTATTAATCTCAAAATTAGGTAAAAAATTTAATATGCAAATTGCCCAAAGATATTTTTTAAATTAAAAAAAAAAAAAAATTCAATACTGATTTATGAGAAAATATTTTTTTTTACAAAATTACAAGTAGTATTAAAAACTGCTTCTTGATTATTGCTAAATTCTTAAAAAATAACTAATTTTCATACTTGTTTTTAATTTGGAAAGGAAATCTATTCAATCAGCACATTTAGAAAAAAAATTTAAAAAATATGATAAAGTGGAGTAAAAACCAAACTCACTTTTAAAATAACTCTCTGGTCTGCTTGTTCTTCTAAAATATTATCTAAAGGATAAGCTTCAATTTGTTGCCGTATTGCTTGTGCAATTGCTGGGACAAAATTTAAAGGATTCAAGTCCAAATCATCACACAAGATTTCTGCAAATTGTTCTGGTGATATTAATGCCTCTGAAAATATAGAAAATTTTATGATGTCTACTTAAATATTAAAAAGGTTAGGTAATATTAATTATGAAAGCATAATTTTCTACTCTGTAAAATTAGAATAAATTTTATGTCATTACTGTGATTTTTCTGGTCTTTTGTTTATTTAAAATAGATGTAAATTATCTTAGTTATTATTGCAATATAAAGAACCATATAAACAAGCTGTCATTAAACATTGAAAGATTTAAAAAAAAGAAAAAGAAAAAAATATTGACCCAGAAAAGCAGCTATGCCAATGGAGAAGTAATTAAAAACAAAAATTCACTACTGGTATTCAGATAAAATATCCCTTATCATTAGATATCCCAAACTAAAATTCTTTTCAATATATCTAAAAACCTTTAACATAGGCATAAAGACATTGATAAACCATGAAAAATTCATCTTGGTAACTGAATTAGCAACAAAATTATGATTAAAGTTACACAGGCTTCAAACAAATTAAGAAACTTGGAGTATTTTCACAGTGGAGGCTTGTATTTCTAATAAGTCGTACAAAACGTTAGGAACTTGGAAAAATAATAGTCAATGACGCAGCAAATCTAGTTGTGATGGTTGGTACTTCAAATGTCCGAATCTCGACTGACGTTCTCAACACTGTTCTGCCAGACTTGCCACTGCTACTCCTACTTATTATCTATGGGAGAGTCCATTACCAAAGAATAGGTACTATGGCACAACAGAAACATTATATAAATATAATATCCCATAGGGAGTCTTGAAGCAAAAGAAATATGTTAATGGAATCAATAATGATTAGAGCAGACCAGACTGGGAAAAATTGCATTCTTAAAAATAAAATCATAAATGATACAGAAGGGTAATTATATCTTTATAAAGAGAAAAGATTTAATTTTGTTTACATATTAATTTTATCAAAATAGCCTTGAAAATAAACTAGGTATCAGCAGTTGAAATGGGAGGAAATTTCATTACTTTGACATGCACTGTAAACTAGGGACAATCTGGGACATCTATTATCTCATTAAATTATTATTGAAAACATCTAAACTTAAAAAAAAAAAAAAACATGAACAAAACTGGTATATCTGACACTTGTAATTTTAATAAGTCATTTTTGTTCAATTGACAAATTAATACATTTTACTCAAACCTCTAAAAGAAAGAAACAAAACAAACCATTCTTATTCCAGGTGAAGCAATCCCTTAACTTCTGGCCATCAAATTCCATGTCCAGACGAATTGGAATCAAGACTTCAGTAGTTGAGGCATTTTCATGGATTTGTGATGGGTCAGTGTCATCAAAACTGTAGAGGAGGAAAATAAATAAAATGCCCCTCATCTTTGTTGTTATTATCACAACATATTTTCAGTGGAAACAGGGCTACTGGACAATATTTAAAAAAAAAAAAGAAAAAAAAAAAGATATCCCCAGACATAGATAGCAGAAGAACAAATCTGATTCTAAATTTTCATCCCAGAAATTCAGACAGAAAACTGCTATTCATTCACTTGGATGAATTAAAATTACACTGAAGCAGTATTCACTACTATATTTTTAGCATAAATTCATCAGTTAATACTTTTCATAAATATTTCTTATTTTTGCAAACTTTCTAATCACAATAATTTTATGCTCATTAGTCAGAAGTGTAAATTTGATGTAAAGAATAAATTTCTGGTGATATGTAAACTAATAGTTTATCCTTGAGAATTTGTCACATCACATAGAATAATGATTTGCAAGTTGCAATAAACAGATAAAAAGATGAAATGTCAATTATTACATTTTGACTGGCCTTTCATCATTTCATTTTCCAAGTTAAATGAACTTTTTCAACTGGAGATGAAAAATTGTTGTTCATGACTTCTTAAATATGGTTAACGTTGCATTTAGAATACATTATTAGTTTAACACACAAATACATACAATAGAATGATGAAACAAATAACTTTAAAACATGGAACAATCTTCTCTAACATAAAAATATAAATTTTAAGGTTAGAAATGAAAGAAAAATAATCTAACAGCCTATGCATTACATCATATTTCTGAAATATGATATATAAAAATGATATCATATAGTTTAGCCAACATATCACCATAAACAAACAAGGAAAGAATGATAAGAAAATAAAGAAAACTGTTTCATTTATCAAAGTAGATTTGGGTTTTAGTGATGAATTAAAGGAGGGAAAGAGATTGCCTTATAAAAAATTTCTTCCTCAAATTTTTTCAGTGAGAATTTGTGTCTTAGTGAACACAAGGTCTTGAAATTGCTAGGAATGTGGACGTCTGTTTCTCATTCACTACATTTCTATTTCTCCAGTTTTTGGTAAAATTTTTCTAAATGCAATAAAAGCAGTCAGTTGACTATATTTGTGCCTAATACCATTAGAAGGATCCTCTCTCCTGGTCAAAGATATCTAACTTGATTTTCAGCAAGAGGGAGAAATTAGCAACTTTAGTATATTGGCCCTAAGAAAACCATGGAAACAAATGTGATGACAATGTGTTCAGTCATACACCAAGTTGGTGTATGACTGAAGAATGACTACTACCAGGTCAGTGGTAGAATCATAGACCTACAGTCTCAGTCTCTCTCTCTCTCTCTCTCTCACACACACATGCATATCTCGGAATTGTGCTACTGGTGAGGAAAATGTATATTTATTATTAATATATAATTTATAACTTATTCTACATTGATCACTATTTTATTAACACCAGCATTCAATGTACGATATTATGCACACACATGTACGTGTGTATGAGAGAGAGTGTCACTTCCTGTTCTATAAGCTTAGCCGCAGCATTTTTGCTAGTTGCTTATGAATAAAAAAAAAAAAGAAAAAAAAAGAAAAATGAATACCACCCGAATTTTTTTAGACGAATTATTAGTGTTTTTCCAAGTTATTTAGATTTCTTCTATGTGACATGTCTTTTCAGGATTTGGGTGATCATGGCTCACCACAACTTCATATCCTTTGAAACTTCTCTTTGATCCAGTTCTTTTATCCATTCAAGCAAAATCATTAAATATATTGCTTGCTATTTTTCTCTGCCTGTCTTACTTTCAACCTGTCCTGCCAAGCCCCTACCCCATTTGTCCCAGAAATTTCAACTATAGCTTTGATTCTAAGTATAAATATCCTTTTAGTTCCAATTTTCCTCAAAACTTTGTTATTCTCATGTTCTGTCTCTGTTATGTGTCTGTAGAACAACATCTCTTTTGCTTTGAGTCCTCTTTTCATCTGTAAGGAAATTGCCTAGCATTTACTACCATACTATTTATAATCCAATTTCCTAATTTTTACTACTTTCTGGAAGACATCTTTGGCTATTCCAATGAATTCTTGGATTTTTGTGATACATTTTCTGTTGTCTGTTACTACACTAGTAAGATGGATCAATTTCTGTACCGGCTTAATTCAGATATCCCCAATTTTCACACATTTACTAACAACCATACATTCTGGCTTCTTACAGTTAAGTCTTTTCTTTTCTATTTTGTCTAGCTTGCTATCAATACAGTGTCATTTGAAATTCAAGTTTTCCATGACAAATTATCAAATGCTTTTTTTGTACAAGACATCTTATATTTGAATTGTTTGATCTGATAACATTCTGATTATAAAAGCAGCATTTCTTATACTGGTACATTGAACAAAGCTACACATTTCTTGTCATATTTCCAATCTAATTCTTTTATGAGCTCTGTTCATTAGAATCATAATTATAAGCTTAATTATGTGTCTGATTAAGCTAATTTCCCTATGGAGTTTGCATGCATTCTTTAGATTCACTGAAATCTTCCAGTATTTTGCCACTGTTATATATTTCATTTATAAATTCTTTTTGATCCAGAAATTGTCTAAGGCTGTCGAGCATTTTTATCACAATCCCATCAAGCCCTGCATTTTTTAAAAAAATTATTTCGGTTCATCTTGGCTAGTGCCTCAGATATTGTAATTTATTCCATGTTTTTAAGCATTGTAAGTGTCTCTCGTTTGTTATTATGAAAGACTTTACCAATGTATTTATTGCACATTTGTAGAGTATCTTTTACTATTTTTTCTCTTCTTCCATTATTTAGATTTTATGCAACCTGTTGAGGACAGGTCTTCTGTTCTGTTATTTCTTTTATAAAAGATTATTTAAACTATTATTCTCATAAATTACAAGATTAGCATATGCCTTCTTCTACCCACAGTATATAGTATTGTTTGTTATTTTAGACTGACTAATGTTTGTAAAAATCTGAGGTAAGGTGAGCAATTAGATGAACAATACTTAAAAAAAAAAAAAAAAAAAAAAAAAAAATCACTCAAGCAGTGAAAATTGCTCACGACATATGAAAGATGTATTGTTAAATATAGGTCAGAGCTACAACTTAAAGAATTTAAAAAAATACCATAGTGGAAATGTTCTCATTTTATTTTTCCCAAGTCGGTTTCGGTTGATAGGAGTAGAACATGGCACTGCATCGAGATGGTGAGAACTGCTAGGAAGAGCTGGTACCCAATTGTTCCGCTTGGACTTGTTTTCTCTGAAGATTTATAAAAATAACTTCATGTATTGAATTGCCAGTAGAAAAAGATAAAAATAATGATTTTATTATTAATAATGAAAAGCAAACTATCTCTTAAAAGAAAATTATACAAATGTATAAACCAAAAAAATGAGTAATAAATTTTTTAAGGAAAGAACTTCTATTAAGATGCAAGAGTGTTGGAAGCAATTTCCTTGTTAATGTTATTTTTAATTGCTGCAAACAGTATCAGCTAACAATGCTATGATAAAAGTAACTAAAATATGAAGAAATTAGCCACATATTAATCTAAAGGGGAAAAATACATGACCAAAAAATACTTTAACTTAAAATAATTTTCACACATCTTTTAAAATCAAAGTTTAAATAATTTAAAGAATAAATGTGCAATAGGTAGTTTTTGTAATTGATTAATATGTAAAGACATATAAGTTAAAAAGATAAACAAAAACAATATAATAATGCAAGTAAATTTTTAAGCCTCCGTTTTCTGGATAACTAATAATTATAAAGGTTAAAAAACAATTTTTTAGTGATTAAAAATATATATTACTAATACCAGTCAAATTCATAACTACATATTCATTTTATAGCAGCAACAGTTATTTTCTAATGTTATTATTTTTTCTGATTATAAAGATGTTTTTTTTAAAGATATTTTTACATTTAAAAATAATTGCAATTTTCAACATGCTGGGAATGTTGAGATTTCAAATTTACTAATTAAGGGAAAATTCTTAATTGTATGAGAAAAATCTATCTATATATAAAGATTTGTAAAACTCAGCTGAGTCTGTATGGTATAAGAATTATTCTTGCTACAGAAGAAATTTTCAAACTTTCTTATTTGTAAATAGTTTTATTTTAACTATATTTTTCATTGGTAATTTTTAAAAGGAAACAGCTTTTAGAAAACTCACCTTGAAGGGAATGGATCACTTGATAGAGAAACAGCTTTATATTTGTCATCATTTCCTTCAAATATTTCATCTACTTCTGGTGCTTTCAGTAAGGTAATATTTGTTGCTAAAGTATGCTGACCAAAACCTTGTAAGAAAATTTTTTTTTTTTTTTTTTTTTTACAAATGACTAGAAAAAAAATGTTATATGGGCAAAAAGAAAACTGTACATAATAAATTGATGTTGCTAAAGGAAAGTGAAAAATTGGAAAGTTTTGAACCTTACTAGATAACTAACAAAAATTATGTAATATGAAAGTGATAATCAAATCATACTTATTACTGAAGAATATGAAAGCCTTCAGAATCTCTTTAAAAAAATCAGAAGAATTGAATTTTTCCAGATATGGCTTGATGGAAATAAGCAAGAACCCTGAGGTGAAGGTTTGAGAAGTCATTTGATCTTCAGTAAGTGTTACTAGATACACCAGTGCATAAAAATGTTTATTTTATTTAAAAGTTATTGTTACTTTTTTTGTCTGTTACTGATTTTGTCACATTAAAGAAAACAGAAAGAGAAGAAGATACTATACATACAGAGACATGAAATGTGTTCTGTGTTTATGTGTCTGTTGGGTAAAAAGAAAAAAAAAAAAAAAGGCGGCATTCAGTGTCAAATCAACAAGGGTCTGTCATGGATTTTTTTTCCAAATTTGGTACACTTATTTATAGAGCTTCATGATATGAACTGAATGATATCTATTTCACATCTTTAGGGCAAAGGGTTCCCAAAAATATGGTCCTTGCCAAAAAGGTTGGATTTTGGAAAATAGTCACAAAGTTTAAATATCAATATCTCAATTGTTTTTCCCCCACAAAGCTAAATTATATACCATTTTAAGATGCTTGGATAAATCTCAAAGGTTATCTATTTAATTTTTTTGTTTAAAAGGTCAAATAAGATAATTTGATCTTCATTTTAACATTTTCTCAAAAAGCAGTTCTTTAATTTTTAAAAATTTGATCAATTTGGTACACAGAAATTGAATAGTACCTATTTTACATCTCTAGGTCAAAGGGTTCCCAATATACAACCCTTTGACCCTTACTAGAAAGTTAGATTTTGGGAAATAGTCACAAAATTTAAATATCAATATCTCGGTTGTTTTTTTTCACTCACAAAACTAAATTATATAAAATTTTAAAGTATTTGCATGGATCAAAAAGGTAATCTATATATTTTTTGTTTTTCTTAAAAAACAGTTCTTTAATTCTTTTTCAAATTTGACAACAAATTTGCCTGCTTTATGGCAAGATATGTACAAAATTTTGTGGTGGACATATGACTGTGGCCTGACTTACAAGGGCTTTATTGAGTTAGGCCAAATTCAAAATGGCAGATTTTGGTATTTGCTAACATTTTTTTTTAATATTTTCCCCAATCGCTATATGTCTTTTTCAGTTTTTTTTTTATATATATTTAAAAAATCAAGTTTGATCTGAAAAGTAATACATTAAAATGAATATTTAAAAAAGCTTCCTAACATTTACAAAATGATTAGCAAGCAAACCTGTTGTCAAATAAAATTAACATTATCCAAGTTTTCTGAATGTACTTCAACATCAGCTGAAGACCAGTTACAGCCTTCTAGCATTTTTGTAGATATTGAAAATTAATTCAACATTTTAATGAGTGACTTTCAATGATTGATGAATTGCCAATCAAGCATCAAGAACTTAAAAAACAAACTAGTTATGAGGAATAAAAATAGGAAAAATTAAAGCAGTATGAAAGAAAATGAAACTGATTTTGACAAACATTTCTCATCAAGAATCTACTAGTATAGAAGAGCACAAAAGATCTGATGAATATGAAATTATTACACAATTAAAAGACAAATTTTCAGCTTGTGAAAAGGTCCCAAAAAGTACAAAGTTTGATAATACTTCCAAAAAGCTGGAGTATACAAATAAATCAAATGGAATTTAGTACCACAATGTACATAACAAGACAAGCCAAAAAAGATGTAAATGAACAAGGAATATTATCTCTATGAAGTATACAAAAATGTAGATTCCCACAAGAGACAATTGATGAAGTTGTGCTGTTTTATAAGAGTGAAGAAGTCTGGAATAAAAATGACTATAAGACAATCTTAAAGAAAAGGTAGAAGACTTCAGGAACAAATGTATCTTGTACTCTGTAACCAATAATCTAAATAAAAAAAAATTCTAAACAGAATTAGTTTTTCAAAATTTGCTGAGCTTGGACCAAAAGAAAAGTATATTTGTTCCAAAGGACACTTATAGAAGTACTGAAAAAAAATCTTAATATTAAAATGAAAAATCTGATCTATTCCTCTGATGGTGCCACTTCATATGCAGCTATAAGACTGACTTTGGTATTGATACAGAGTGGCACATTTTTGCTATATCTCATGGGAAAGGACCATATGATGGGTTAGGTGATACTATTAAGAGATTAGCAGAAAAAAATCAAGCCTACAGTAACCCTATAATGAACAAATAAGACAGTTGTTTGATTATGCAAGAAAAAAATATTTCTGGCATAAATATTTTGTATTCTTCAACAAATGAATGAACCATTGAAGCAGAAATAGATTAAAAAAAAAAAAAAATGCTTCTACAATTTCTGGACCTCAAAAACTTTATAGTTTTATTCCTGTGTCTCAGGAAGTGGTAGAAGTAAAAACAGTGTCAACTCAGGATGAAAGAAAAATAGTTAAAAGCTTGAAAACATACAATTGTTACAGCAATTTATAATAGGAATTGATGGTTAGGATGTGTGCTTAAAAAATATCCTGATAATGAAGAGGTAAAATTGACATTTTTACAACCTAAGAACACTTCTTCATCTTTCTGTTATCCATTACATCCAGATGTATTAATCTTAAATTATTCTGATATTCTTAGTTTAGTTGATTCAATAACTGACACTGGAAGAAATTGAGAGAAAAAGCTTCAAATATTTTAGTAAAGAGAATTAATTGAAATAGGCTTAAAAGATACAATCAAGGTTGGTTATCACAAAAAATTTGAGGGAAAAAGTAAGTGGTCTGCATATCCAAATTTCCGTTTTATATTTAAAAATGTATTCCAACAACAAAAATAATTTTGCATGTTAATCTCTTTGTAAATGTTAGCAATCTTTTTCGTTTTAAAGTATCACTTTTTCAGATCAATATAAGGCTCAAACACTAATATTCCATGGTTATAATTTATTACATTGGAATCATAATCACAATCCAATTCATCAGGAAAATATAATAATTGTTTAAATGAGTGAAATACAGATAAATATGAATTATTTTCAGATGCATAAATCACTACCGATTCGCTGACCTAAAATTAAAATTAAAAACAGACACCAGAAACGTGTGGATAAATTTGTGGTGACACTACATACAATAAAAAATGATGATCTAAACTTAAAATCCAGCCAATTCATACTGCCGATGTATATGTGAAAATTTCCCATCTGCTTTGTATTACTAACCTTATGTATACAAGAAAAGAGGATATGAGGAAAAAAAAGGGGGGGTGGGGGGTGGCACAAACTAAAAACGAGGGAATTTATGAGAAATGATGTCTAATCTAGAATAATTAGACAAAGCAAGTAATATCACCTACAGGTTACAAATTTAACAAACATAAAAATATTTAAGAATATTGAATCTAGTAAAGTAAAGACCTAATATTTATAGGCCCCAAAACACATACGTATATACACACACAACAACATATACATGCGCGCGCGCGCACACACACACACAAAAAAACCTTACATCCATTAAGTATGTCCACTATTTCGGCATAAATTTTCTATATTGAAGTTTAAAATGAATTTTTTTTACAACGAAAAAACATTCTTGAAGATTTCATTTTAGCTTTAATTGAAAGTTTAATAATTAAATTTACGATTTCTATTAATTAAACAATTCTGGTGTATTTCAGATAGAAACTATATACGTTTCATTGTCAAATTTAATTTCAAATTTTTAAATTTTCTTAAAAACGGCCATTTTCTTAATTTTAAGAAATTTGTAAACAAACACAAATTTATCGATTTTTAAAATATTTAAAAAATTCTGACACGTTATTTTAGTAAAATTAAAAAATTTAAAGTTAAAGTAATCTGATTTCAAAGAAATCTTTGTTACTTATAGCATAAAAAAAATAATATACAACCAATTATTAACGAGCGGTCCCGTTCAGTTGTTCGATCTTACTGATAATGATTGATTGACGAGCCGATGACAGCTACTACTGATGACCATAAATGACATAATTTTTTTTAAGTCTGAGTTTTTAAAAAATTATTCTATTTGAGTATGACACACACTAATGGAAATACAATACATAAAATAAAATTATTTAGTGAAATAGTAAATGAAAAAAGAAAAATAATTTAAAATTTAAAGTTTACACTTTTACAGCTGATCGGAAAATACAATCTGTTAATAAACGAAATGTTTTGAAAAGGCCACGTAAAGGACAAAAAACCCTTAGATCACGTGACCTTGTTATAATAATGGCAATTTCTGTATATCATACATGGAAATAAGGAATGTATTAAGTAAAAAATACAACATAAAAAAATTATTTTTAAAAAAAAGTAGCGCAACTAAATTTATTAAACTTAGCAATTTTGGATTCGTAAATTTTTTTCTACTTAATTAGTACATAATATCGAGGAACCCTCCTAATACAGAGCTTTACACGATTTAAAACTATTATAAATTATTATAATTAAAATTTCTTAAAAACGAAAAAATTCTTGTAAAAATTAATTATTCATCAGAAAAAAATTATTTCTTCAGACAATAATGTCCTTAATATTACTTATTTACAAAAGCAATTAAAAGCTTTTCTAATTAAGTAATATCATAGTTTTATTGGATTCATTATTTTTCAATTCAGAGCAGATTTTCAGTTAAATAGCTCAAATTTGAAAAAAAAAAGTAGGTTATTTACCATCTTCGAAGACTCCTACTTTTAACAAAAAAAAAAAAAATTCAGGAACCAAAAAGGTTTTGGGCGAAATTTCATTAAATTAAGTAAATGTGGGGTAACATATTTTAAAAAAATATAATTTTTACCAAAATTTTCTAAAAAAAAATATTTCAAAAATAATTTCATTGATTTGTGAATAAGTCCTGAAAATTTCATTAAGATTGGACAATTATTTTATTTTTACAAGAATTTCCAAATCAATGTTTTCAACGGTAAAAAAACGCAAAAAAAAAAAAAAACAATGTTATTTTAAACGTCGCCGCGATGACGTAAACAAAGACGATTTTAACCAAAATTTCGAACGTGTTAGAAAATATTAAAAAAATTTAAAAAAATAATTAAAAAATACTTTCTTTCATCTAAATAATAACAAAGTATTATCGTCAAAATGCTTATTTTCTTTAAGTTTGTGGCATTTTTCATTTACGCTATGCTGTTTTTCCGCGAAAACAGTGGACATGCTTATGTCCACCACAAAATTTTGTACATATCTTGCCATAAAACAGGCAAATTTGTTGTCAAATTTGAAAAAGAATTAAAGAACTGTTTTTTAAGAAAAACAAAAAATATATAGATTACCTTTTTTTTCCATGCAAATACTTTAAAATTTTATATAATTTAGCTTTGTGAGTGAAAAAAAAAAAAAACAAAAAAAAAACCGAGATATTGATATTTAAATTTTGTGACTATTTCCCAAAATCTAATTTTCTAGTAAGGGTCAAAGGGTTGTATATTGGGAACCCTTTGACCTAGAGATGTAAAATAGGTACTATTCAATTTCTATCATGAAGTTCTATAAAGTGTACCAAATTTGAAAAAAAAAATCCATATCGGTGATGGTCAGACTCTCGATGATTTGCCATGAAATGGCTCAAAAACAAAACAAAACAGAAATCATGACAAGTTGTAGAAAAATAGAAAATACATTGATAATTTTTTTTTTTTTTTTGCAACATATCAGGCATTAAAAAATAAAAAATTAAACTGACATACCCATTGATGCTATTTTCTTTCGTTCTTCCACAGTTACAAGACGACGCCACATAGAAGGATATTTTTTATATAAAGAACCTCTAAAAAGGCGCAAATAGTTGCCAACCTAACCAAAAAAAGAAAAAAGAAAAGAAAAAGAAAAAAATATTTTGAGTTAATGAAAGCATTTCATTAAGCAAAGTAATAATTTACAAATCAAAATATATATAATTTTGATTACTTCAAACATTATTATAGTGGATACTTTAGTTTATTTGAAATAGATGTCCCTTATGAAGTATCCACTATAACATTTCAAATAAAAACTTTGGATTAAATAAATCAATTAAATTAACATTCTTTAGAAATCCAGTTTTTTTTTTTACCTTCTTTGGTAAAGTATAAGCTTTTTAAAAAATTAAAAAAATCATTGAATTTACACAGGAAGAAAAATTAAATGTAAATTTGCAATTGAAAAATATGTATTTTTACTTGAATGTATGTGCTTCATTTTTTTTTATCTTTAATTTGTTTATCGCATTTATTAATAGCATAAACGATTTTACTAGCTGCAATATTTACTATTTAGACATGTGCAAGGTACTCATAATAAAAACAAATATGTTCTTCAATTTTATGGGAATAACAAAAAAAAAAAAAAAAAAAAAAAAACACATTACTGGTTTATAAACCTTGAGAAAATGGCAAGATTTGTTAACACTAATTTACAAAGGGATAAAACCCAGTCTTCACTTACTAGTTACTTTAGTGTCCTTAAAATATGGTTTAGTAATACAAAATAACCAAGTATATTATAAATGTTCCAATAATACTACACTTAGCACAGCGAAATTCACATATAGAGGGGATGGTTGTGTTACAACAATTTTCCAAGTGTGAAGGGACATGCTTGCTTAGAAAAATCAGCATTTAAAATTCTGGCCTTAGATCACTAACACTGGTGGAAAATATGCCAGTGTTTTTAAATCACAATACTGAAAAAATTTCAGGATTTCCAAGAGATTTGATGAGTAATTACGGCAAGTGAAAATCAATGACTTGACTGAAAACTTTTTAACCAAAGTGAATAAATTTTATCATTTAGAGCAATTTGTACTTAAATTAATGAAAAACTGATACTACTTAAATAGACTGATCAATTTATAAAAAATATGGAAAAACATTTTGGAAATAATTTTGTACACTAGCATTCTTTAGACAGTCTTTAAGTTGTGACAATAAAATAAAAAATACTGTTTTTTTTTTAATCATTTCAGGGAGCTACTCATAATATCGATAAAGTAAAAATCTAAAAATCATTGTCTGACTTTTACATTGTTATTGGATTTATCTTTATTTACCAGTATCAATTTTGAAATTGTGTTGTTAACAATAACATCATTGGTATCTGTAGATTTTATATTTTTTTTCTAAAAATTTAAAAAAAAAAAAAAAACTCTAAAAAAGGTTTTTAAAAACTTTAGAATTTTTTTTGCATGGGATTTTTGGAGAAGCATATGCACAAACATAATTATTTATCTTATACATAAATCTTAATTTTTGCAATTTTTTTTCTTTATTTAAAAATAAATGTTCTTTAATTTATTTAAAAATTAAAAGAATTCTTTTTGTAACGCCCATTCAAAAAAAGTGTTTTAGTATGCAACACCGTTCTGTACGTCTGGGATCGATTTGATATGATGTCGATAAACAGGAACTCCTAAATCGATAACAAATCAATATTTTTCAAGTGTCTCCGCCTAAAGAAATTGTACGAAAATTATTTCCCACCCAAAATTTTTGCCTATTTTTTGGACCACTGAAATTTTTGGTATCCCACTCGCACGATAAAAAAAATCATTTTCATACCCCCAAAAATAGTAAGTCATGGATTGATTTGACACTGTATCGATAAATAAAATAAAAAAATCGATATTTTTCTTTTCTGAAAAGTGTCACGGCCTAAGGAGAGAAAAAAAAAATGTACAAAAAAACAAGAATTGTTTCCCCCCAAAATATTTTCCCTATTTTTTATGGGTGAACCAAAACTGTGTACAACAATCTAGTACTTACAAAATACCACAATTAACTTTAATTTTCTAATTAACTATTTTTATTTAATAAAATAAAAATGAGATAATTACAAAGAAACAGAGCACACTCACACATGTATGTGTACTTTGAAAACCACAGAGCACGGGAAGGAAACTGATCCACTGCTGAACAGCATTCAATATCTACTTAATTCTTGCTAAAAAACAGTAACATCGAAATGTGCCAAGGGTATAAAAATACTTATAAAAAAAATGCTGAAATGGGAGTACTAATAAAAAAATGAAAAACTAATTAAAGACAAATTATCAATTTATAAATTAAATGAATAAAAAAAAACAACAAAAAAAAAACCATAAACGAGGCAATTTTGGGATGTACTCTAAATTTATTCCACTATGTGCTATATGCCACGAAGTTGAGAAATAGGGAATAAAAGTATATTTTGAATTACGATTTCTGAATATTCAGTAATTATTTTCAATACGAGCAGGCGAAAACTATTTTTGACAGAAAGTATAAAAGGTGAAACTCACGAATAACGAGAAAAAAAACAAGAAAAATGAATTTTAATATTAAATTTATGATTTGTAATCCATGGGACAGAATTAATTCTGAAACATTAAGCCGCAAAATGAATAATGAAAGAGTATTTTTACGTAATCATACAAGCACATGCAGTTGCAAAAACATGTCTCCTTCCTTTCTTCTCGAGTAGGAGAAAAAAACCTTAATTTTGTTTGAAGAAAAGAAATAATTTTTCACGAAAAAAAAAAAAAAAAAAATCTATAAAATACCAGCTTAAGAGAATAATTCTTAATTTCTCGTAGCTGATAAAAGTAAATAGTAATTTACCAAGAGTAGCTTAGAATTATCACAAGGCCACAGTCATGGGGCCACTCAATGTGGATCGAACACACTCACAGTAGAAAGCTTGTTTTGTTGTTTTGTTGTCACTTAAGTCAGTGATAATAAAAAAACGTATGGTATAAATCAACTTTAAGGGGCCACAATTATATAGATATTTAATCTTTCTATGATTTTCTTTTTGTCATAAAATAATTCTTACCTCTGATCCGATGTAATAATATTCTCCGCCATCATCAAGTTGAAAGGATTTGGGTTTTTCACCAAAAGTCTTTGTTGCTGCTTGAGCGGCCATTGTAAAGTCGATCTTCCGTTTTTGAAGATCAAAAGAGTCTCAATGCTATATTTTCTTCTCCAACAGTTCATCACTTCCGGTTCGCCAAATTTACGAAGTTACTCGTTTTTATTTCGCATTTACTAACCTAATGAATATTTATTCATTAGGTTAGTAAATTATTCAAATAGTGTTTTAATTAATATTTTACATTTGAAAGATTGTATTTTTTTAGATGCTTTCACAATTCTATTTTAATAAAGCATTGGTGTATTCATTTTTTTTAATTTGTCGACAATGACATAGAACTACGAAGCAATTAGTTTCAACAATACTGACTTGTCACTTATTTTAAAAATATTTTAAGATGGAACATGTACTTTAAATATTTAGTTTGGATTAGTTTTCGGAAAACAGCGTCTTATTAGGTTGAGTGAGTCATAAAGTAATGACAGTTTTGGGGAATAAACTGTAATATTTTGAAGAATAAATTTTATAAACAAAAGTGGAAATTATGACTCAACAGAAAACTGAAAACTGAAAAGTATGCAGACTGCAGAGTAGCTATTTTTTTTTTACTTTAAATTTAAAATAAGAATGGAATTAATTTTACTTTTACATTTATAAAAATTATAATAATTGAAAAAATATTAAAATTGTATGGAAAATAAAATTATTCAAAAAATGAAAAAAAATTATGTAAGGAAAAACGAAAAAATAATTAAAATTCTAGTAACACAGAAAGTTACTAACATGGTTTCTTAAAACAAATCAATGAAGGCAGTCGTTTTATTATATATCTATAAAATAAACAACGTGAAGAAAAATTTACTCGCAATACATTGAAAAACATTGAGAAACACCAATTTGATGATCTTGAAAAATCACCAATTGTAAAGGCGCGGTTCAATTATAGTTTCATTTTCGAATTTTGTATTTTTGACCCCACGCCCCATAAGAGTTGATTTTTTTTTATTATCCTGCTTGTGCCTCTAACTAGCAGCTATAAAGGAAGCCTTCTCAAACATAAAAACATCATGACCAGATTGATTGCACGTCCTTATCCTGACTCAAAGCCAAACAAATGTTATTTATTTGGTGCCAGATAATTCTAGTTATGCTGTCGGGACAGCACTGCATGAGATGATTGAGAACAAACGTGTCTCTATACGTTTCTTTTCGAAGAAAATGTCAGAGAATAATATGAAAATGTTATAAAATAAAATAAGACATATCTCGGCTGATTTACAGGCAAATAAACTAACATACTCAAGAGCGAGAGCCGGATGTGAACTGGACAAAGCCCCGTGACAAAATGACCATTATCTTCGTTTACAAATGTTCCCGACGCACGAGTTCCGGTCGAAAAATAAAATAATATTTAAAGTGTTCTATTTTTCGAGCAATAAAAATGCTTCCCTCCTAATTATATTTGCTTCGTTTTTCGAGCCTGTTAAGTCATAAAAAACGCCATAAAAGGGGTCACACGGAAGTACAACGGGCAGTCAACAGGTGGCCAGGGAAGAGACCTGTCACGGTCAGGCCGAGCGGTCAGCAGGGGAGCATCAACCAGCGTCAACCTGTGTGAACTACTATGAGAGATCGACCTAGATCCGAAGCCGGCTTATGAACTATACCATAAGGTAGCTGTCCCAAACCCTCACGTTCCAGTTGAAATAAATCACGTACGGTAAATCTATTTCTGCTGTTGTCGTATTTCTTTCTTGCAACCATACGCTTGTCTATAACACTGGTGTCAGAAGCGTACAGCAAGAGAAATATGACCGACTACACAAGCTTCACCCGAGCCGAACTATTTACACTACTATTCAACTTGAAAACGGGACCAACACAGCCTTCCGAAGCCACGATACAAGAAATTCAAGCCGACATAAACGACATGCTGACTGCCCTAAAATCAACTACTTCAAAACCTCCCACCGCTCAAACAAACGGCGATTACAGCTTAATGATGCGCCAACAAACTATACGCGACATATTGAAGCTAGAGAGAACTTTTCACCCTGAACACGACGTGAACCGATTCATCACGGCCCTAAACAAAGCATACACAATCCACGTCACGCCAGAACTCAGCACCTATCCCAGCCTGGAATGTGAATTCGTCAAGTCTGCTAAAAGATTTACTGGACCAAAGTATCTTTCAGCAGATGGTTGACTCAAAAAAAGACATATCCACCTTCGAACAACTGAAGGAATACTTATTAGCAGCCCACGGAAGCCAGATGACTAACTTCTAACACCTCAGTCAAGCCTGGGATCTGGAACGGCGAGACGGCGAAAACTTAACAGACTTCGCGGGTCCACTCGAAAACACCCTTAGAGAGGCAGCCGTCCACATAAAAAAAACAAATACAAAAAGACAAAAATACAGACTTAACAGTCGATGGACTTATTTCCATCATCGGCGCTATGCTAATGAGCGAAAAGGTGAAAATTTGGAACTCAAATCTTTACCCACATCTTGTCAAGACAATGGACAACCACTATTCAACCATTGGCATAGCCTCCAAAGCTCAAATATACATTGATCGCGGTATAAAATCCAACGACACGACTTCGCACGACACTGTGTATTTCACACAGAAACCACAGCGGTCAAACCAAAGAAACGCGCCACTCCGACCCAGCAGGCAACCAAGCCCACAGCAGACGGGCCTCACCAACCCTCCCGAACATGGCCACCATCCGACACGCAGAAACCATCAGCACGCACCACGAATCAGCGTGTGCAAGAACTATCTCAGAGGTCGCCCCTGCCACCATGGACGCAACTGCCTATATCGCCACCCACCTCGCACTCGGGCACAGGTCCATATCGCAGCAACGAATGACAATATACAAGCCATAAATGATGTGGAACAGGATTTTCGCTTCAGGTAGGACGAGAGGTGATGCTTCGTTCACCATGCCCCTACGTCAGCCATCACACCTTCAACTTTCAAGGACTCGCTCACCATTCACCGCTCGTCCAGTCCACCTTCAACTTTAGGGACATCACCTTCTCTGGCGTCGCAATGCTAGACTCTGGATGCTCCACCTGCATCGTACCAATATCTCAGTTACCCAGAGAAGCCAAGAAACTCATGACCCGCTACGACGTCGTAGTAAAAGAAATCAACAGCAGCACCACCGCCCTCGGCGAACTGACTTGCGACATCACCATCGGCAGTCGAGACTCACCCACATTCAAAAAGGTTAACGTGCTGGTAACTACCCAAACCACACCGATCCTGATCGGCCAAAATATCCTATGTCACAACACGCTCGATTCCTATCTAATCGACAACCAAAATGCGACTATAGAATTCAGAAGCGCACTTTCCTCAGGATACATAACACACAAAGCCGCAATCATATCACCGTCATCGTCAACCAACGATTCAGCATATGGCGCCCAAGCTGACATCATCCAAAACCAGCCTACTATGGAACTACAGCCCAACATCCAGACACTGGATCAAAAGCTAACCTGGCTAAAGCATAACACGGGGCTATCGCTACCAAACCACCCGAAACGAGACGAAACTTACTCATTCGCTACGCTGACATTATCGGCACCGAAAGCAGCAGCCAAGGCACATTCATCCGACCCATCCGCATACCAACCAACGGCCAGTCTCGCAGCCAGAAACAACACCCGATAGCCCAGGCGTTGGAAGCAGACGTAGATATCGAAATTAAGCGTATGGCTGATGAAGGTATCATTGGAAATTGCAGCGACCCCAAAGGCTTCAATAGCCCTGTATTTGCCGTACGCAAGAAAAACGGATCGATTCGCGTCGTTGCTAACTTTAAAAGAACTCTCAACAAGGTCTTAGTCGATCTTGACCCTTACCCAATGCCAAGGATCGACCACTTGTTCAACAAAATCGGCAAAGGCAAGAGATATTTTACTACCCTCGATCTACGCAGCGGCTACTGGCAAATTGAGATCGACAAACGAGACCGATACAAAACAGCATTTACATGGAAGGACCAATGCTATCAATACACGCGCCTGGCCTTCGGCCTTACATCTGCCGGACAAATCTTCTCCCGTTGCATAGCAGAAGCCCTAGCCACGGTCACATTCCGTGACAACATTTCTTCCTATATCGACGACAACCTGGTCCACGCTAGGACATTTAGGGAGTACATACTCTCCCTCGAACAATTTTTTACTGCCCTCCGAAAATTCGGACTCAAGCTGAATCCAGATAAATGTTCCTTCCTCGCATCAGACGCAAAATTCCTCGGACGCATAGTAAACAGCAAAGGATTCAAGGCTGATCCAGAATATGTTCGTGCCATCAGGGAAATGAAACCTCCAACATCAAAAAAGGAATTACAAAGCCTTATCGGCCGTTTAGTGTGGATCAGACAATTCCTAGAGACACGTCTTCACGAACAAATCAGGTCAGATATGTTTTCAAAACTTATGGGTCCCATACACGAACGCAACAAGGTTAATAAACCGTTTGTCTGGACGCAAAATGCCGACAGAGCCTTCACAAAAATCAAGGACCGTCTCTCTTCGCCACCCGTCATCTCGTTTCTGGATTTCTCCAAACTTTTCACACTCACCACCGACGCCAGTGACGTCACATGTGGAGCAATCTTAATGCAAGAAGCCGACAACAGGAAGAAAGATATCATAGCGGTCGCTTCCCATACATTCAACTCCACGGAACAGAACTGGTCCACGACGGAAGGAGAGGCATATGCAATAAAGTGGGCAATATTGAAATTTGATCATTTCCTTCGCAACCGCCCCTTCGTCATCTTCACCGACCACAGATCGCTGACATATCTGGACCAACGAGAGTTCAATAATGCCAAAATACGACGATGGCAAGAAGAAATTTCATGTTATAAATTCGTCTTAGAATATGTCGAAGGCGAATCAGATGTATGGGCTGACATGCTTAGCAGAGGTTGCGGACATAATAAAACGAAAGCCCCGAACGATCCTACACCGGCAGGCAGGACATTCGAGGTAAGCGGTTCAGATCTCCGCG